CCAACTGTCTCCTGACTTCTCGGCAGTCCCTGTAACCTTTGCCTTCAGGCCCCCAAACACACTGGAGACTGTGTATCCCAGTCCTCTGAACTGGATACGGCACCACATGGATCTTACTGTGTCCTCAGATCTGAGGAAATCATCACTGGGCTCTGATAATGTCACAAGGTCACTAAAGACCGAGGAAAACAGTTTCTGGTTTGAAACGTCTTTCCTGTGGAGGGAGATGTTCAAACAGCATGTACTGATGGTTAACTGTCTTTCCTCCCTCAGTCCCAGCGTCCCGCCCCGTCCTCACTGTCAGGACGCCCAGGGCCCAGGCCGTGGAGGGGGACGTGGTGGAGCTTCGCTGCGAGGCCCAGAGGGGCTCTCCCCCCATCCTGTACCGGTTTTATCGCGAGGACGTCCCCTTGGAGAGCAGCTCGGCCCCCTCTGGGGGAGGAACGTCTTTCTACCTGTCTCTGACTACAGAACATTCTGGAAACTACTCCTGCGAGGCTGACAATGGCCTGGGAGCTCAGCGCAGTGAGGTGGTGCCACTCAGTGTCATCGGTGAGTTCGTCCTGCCCCAGCAGCAGCACAGGCAAGGACCAGCCCCTGGAGGGGAGCTGAGGTCCTCCCCCCAGCTGCCGAGACGGCTCGGGCCCCCAGTACTTCCTGCCGCCACAACCTCCCTCTGTGCATCCAGGATCCTCCCTGTGGTTTCCCCTACAAGAACCTGGACCTTCCTGGCCACCCAGCCCAAGCGGTCTTCCTCAGTGGCATCGAAACTCCTCACTAAAAATGCAAAGGGTTTTTACACCATAGACTATATTCTGATCTGTGGTTAAGATTACAAAGGGAGACTATGGGTCTCTCTGCTCCAGAAACAGGTTTGGCTGTTCCTTGTCCAGGTTTTTCTCTCCTTGAACCCCCCCCCCCAAGCCTTTACTCTTATGCTTCTTTTTTTTTTTTTTTTATGTTTATTTTTGAGACAGAGAGAGACAGAGCATGAACGGGGGAGGGTCAGAGAGAGGGAGACACAGAATCTGAAACAGGTTCCAGGCTCTGAGCTGTCAGCACAGAGCCCGACGCGGGGCTCGAATTCACGGACCGCGAGATCATGACCTGAGCCAAAGTCGGCCTCCCAACCGACTGAGCCACCCAGGTGCCCCAATTATTATGCTTCTTTATTACCAGGAATATAAATATGCCTCAGACTTCCATATTTAAAACTCCATATTAACATTAGCTCTGTGCGTGGCCTTGTAGGAGAACAACGAGTCCACATTTTTGTTTTTTTTTTTACAAAGTGGATCTTAAAGCAGTGGGGCCGCGGGAGAGCAGCACAGAGAGGTTAGAACAGGACAGCATGGATGCCACGAGCCACTCTCCACCAAATCCCTCCGTTCTCTATGCTGCCCTCCGACCACTTGCCATTCAGTGTTGAATCCAAAGGGAAATGGCTTCTTGTGAGCTCTGAACCAGTTGTGACAGCCCTACAGACCGAACCTCCAACCTCCTGTTCCGGGGGACCCGGGGGAGGGTAGCACAAGTATGCTAAGGGCCATAGAGGTGAGCGTTCTGGTCTCAGCTCTGGAGGCGACCAGCCGCATGACCTTGGCCGAGCATATTTCCCCGTATGTTGACCTCGATTTCCACACCCATAAAGTGGGAAAATCAGACTAGATGGCCACTGTGGTCATCCCCAGCCCTACAATTCTATGATTTTGGTGCACAGTGACTGTGGAGTATTTTGGACTCAAAGTTTTCTGGAAGGAGATATTCAAAAGGAGAAACTTCAGAGACTCTTACACACTTACCTCTCAGATCCACCATGCAGGCGTGTAACGTGAGCTAAATGCCACTCCCTCTCTCTTCACGACACAGCGGACCGCGCATCGTACCCGCCACACTCAGTATTCCTGACGTTCTGCTCACCTTCATGCCTTTGTTTCTATGATTCCTTCACACGATGCAGGCTGTTTCTGCTGCTGCCATCACACCCGAGGGACTCCTTCCTTGCCTGGACTCCGTGAGTTATGTCTTAGCTCTGCGACAGGGGTACCGATCACAGAGAACTGCGGGAAAGGGAGAGATTTCTCACCACCACCACCACCGCCGCCATCATTGTCCTTGTCATTGTCATCATCATCATCCTCACTGACCCTTTGCATGTGCCTGGCCCTGTGCTTAGTAGTTGGCATGCGAGATCCCATTTCATCTTGGAGATAAACCGCCGTTATCCCCAATTTGCAGGAGAGCAAGATGAGACTCAAGAGGTGGGAAGCAGGCAGTCTGCACACAGCTAGCAATGGGAAAGCCGGGCTTCCGTGGGCCTGCCCTGGTCTCCACCGTGGCATTCCTTCATCCTTCATGGCCGTGTTTCAGCACAACTTTCGAGTTGTTAACGATTCGTTAGTCTGAAGGGATACATAAATCTTCGTAAGAAAACCGACGGTGCAGCAGGGAGAACATAAAAAGTGAAGGTCTCCACCTGCAGGCACACACTTTTATGTCGGTGTACTTCCAAGATATAACTGCTATTAATAGTTTCATGGGCGTTTTTCTAGAAGTATTCAAATGTATTATAAATATAAAAGTATAAAATTTTTCACAGCATCAAATTATACATAACGGTGCAACTTGCGTTTTTCACTTAAAACATACATCTTGGCTTTAGTTTAAAAAATAGATCTTAGGGGCGCCTGGGTGGCGCAGTCGGTTAAACGTCCGACTTCAGCCAGGTCATGATCTCACGGTCCGTGAGTTCGAGCCCCGCGTCAGGCTCTGGGCTGATGGCTCGGAGCCTAGAGCCTGTTTCCGGTTCTGTGTCTCCCTCTCTCTCTGCCCCTCCCCCGTTCATGCTCTGTCTCTCTCTGTCCCAAAAATAAATAAACGTTGAAAAAAAAAAAATTAAAAAAAAAATAGATCTTGGCTCTCTCTTGTGTTTCTTTAGTCAGCCAACTAGGCTACCTCTAGTTTTTAGCTATTATAAAAATTCTAGCATAGAAATCCTTGCACAAAGACCTTTGCACATCTGACGTCAGTATCCCTAAAGGAAGCAGTCTTAGAGGTAGATTTGTTGGGTCAAAGTTGATGTGCGTTTTGAACTTGGCAGGTGTGGCCAAATCGCCGTGCAAGAAAGTGTCTCAAATTTGCGTTCCCGCCTGGAGCATCTCAAGGCACCTGTTTCTCCATAACTCTATCACTATCGTCTGTCCTTTTAAGTTTTGCCCATCTGATGGGTGTTTTTATTTGTACATATTTAATTAGTAATGAAAGTAATTGTTCATTGGCTATTTAAAGTTTTTAGTGATTCGTACCCTTTCACACTCTTGTATTGGGTATTTTGTGCATTTGTAGATTAAGGTTGTTAGCTTTGTCTGCCGTATGAGTTTCAGCCTGTTTTCCAAGATCAACATCTGACTTCTGCTGTTTGTTTATAATTACTGCTCCTTTATGGATACATTAGAAGCAGGAACTTCTATTGGCTTTTGTCTCCCTCAGTCCCAGTGTCGCACCCCACCCTCACCCTCAGGGCGCCCGGGGCCCAGGCCAAGGTGGGAGACATGGTGGAGCTTCGCTGCGAAGCCCAGAGGGGCTCTCCCCCCATCTGGTACCGGTTTTATCACGAGGACGTCCCCCTGGGGAACAGCTCGGCCCCCTCTGGAGGAGGAGCGTCCCTCAACCTCTCTCTGACCGCAGAACATTCTGGAAACTACTCTTGCGAGGCCGACAACGGCCTGGGGGCCCGGCGCAGCGAGGCGGTGCCACTCAGCATGTCAGGTAAGTTTCCTGTTCCCAGGCCACAGATGTGGACAGAATACCTGCACCAAGGATGTTCTGGTACCCCTGCTGATGTTTGACCAGGACGTTCTCAGGGGCAGGTGCGCAAAGCTGGGAGTTCTCTAACTTGTCATTTTCTGAAGCGTTTCTGGAGTGCTGGTACCTGAGTGGGAGCAGGAGGCCCGAGAGGATCGTTGACTTTAGCGCTCACTGATGGGCTCTGTCCACCCTGGCCCCCCACCCTTGCCCCAGCCGCAGACAGGAGCTTCCTCTCAAAGAGAAGAGCTGTCTCCTGTGCTGCTGCCTCGGGAGTCCTGGCTCCCCAGATTCTTCCCGTCCTCCTCCAGGCCTGGGCACCATCTCCAGGTGTCAGGGCAGGTCAAGGCTACGAGCCTCTCCCTCCAGCTCATGCGTGGGCTCTCCTCTCCAGGGCTGACCGGGAGCAGAAGTGGCCCCATTGCTACGGGTGTCACCGGGGGGCTGTTCAGCACCCTGGGCTTTGGGGTCGTGGCCCTGCTGTTGTATTGCCGGCTCCCAAGGAAAGCAGGTGGGTCGCCTCTGCGGGAGCCCCTGCCCTCCCCGTCCTGTCCCCTCAGGCTCATGCTGATCACTCAGCCGCTGCCCCCACCACCATCCCAGTCCCCCCTTCCCCTCCTGGTCCCCCGGAATTCCTCTTCACAAACACAGAGTTCCCCAAATAGCCCTAGTGCGTGGAAGATGCGCAGAGGAGAGGAGTTTATCCAGCACCATACCCTTGTGTGCACTCCCCTCTCCACCCTTGCGAGGCCCCCAAGGATTGGGAGGAAGAGAAGGAAGACCGAGAAACAGGAGTGGGGACAGAAACCCAGTGGGGCCTCGTGACTTGCTGAGTGTCTCAACAGGCAGTGTTGTCACAGCCCATCAGGTCTGCTTCCCCCTGCAGCCGTCGAGCGTTGCTCTTTACGGAGCCCCTTTCACATTGCAACTCGGCCCCTCTGGAAGCCGGGCTCAGGAATTTTCATGCCATCTGCCGCCTCCCTCGGGCTTAGCAGAGAAGGGTCCGCCTCTTGGTGCCTGCCCCTCCCTGCGGCCGTGCTCCCGGGCAAGGCCCCCTCCTCCCGTGGCTCCAAATGCTCTGCTTTCCTTTGCAGGAGGAAGGCCGACCTCGGACCCCTCCAGGTAAGACCCGGGCTATGATCTCGTGTGCTCCGGGAGATGCCCGCAGGGGATAAAAGTTGACCTGGGTCTGGTGACCGCTGAGGACGCAGACAGGTTGTGCCGTCTGCACACTGTGGTCTCCCTTGGCGTAGGTCAAGGCAATTCCCAGGTAGCAACTCACTGCTACCTTAGCTACCTGGGCCTCCGTGCGTCAAGGGCCAGTTCCTTTTTATTTATTAACTTGCACCCTGCACCACTGTTGCCTTGGCTGTCTGCGTGACCGCTGTAAACACTGGATCCATCCGTGCCCGAAGCTAATCTTAGCTCAGCCGGCCTGGAAATCTCTGAATGTGAGCAACCTAACCCACGCCTGCCGTGGGCACAGCCGAGGAGATGGAGCCGCGCGACTTGGCCGTCCAGAGAGGCGGTCCGCCAGCCAGACGCGGTGCCGGTGAAGAAGCTTTGCCGTCTTGGATCCCAGCGGCGACCTCGGGAGGCAGGCCACAGCTCAAAACCCTCTCCGGGCAAGCCCGTGGCAGCAGCATCCTGACCATGCGGGTTCCTCTGAGCGCTCACCATGACTGATCCCTCTGAGATGCGGATCTCTCTGAGAGGGGAGGCTTTGGAGCCAGGTTCTGGTTTGCCGTGTCTAGTCACACGGTCTTGAGCGAGTCGCTTTCTCTCTCAGAACCACCGTTTTCTCCATCGATAAGAGAAGGATAATAATAGAATCGCCCTGATACTGTCACAAGCATTAGCACAGTGCCTGGTGGTGTCACGTGCCCACCACGTCCGGGAACATGTTGCGATTTGTAACGTACTCGTTCATAGCAGCCCACCACCCGGGACGCGTTCGGCTGCGTCTCCGGGCTTGGCAGCCACCTCACGCAAAGACCTGCCAACGGGGCACGATTATTACGTTGGCTCCTTCATCGGGGCTCCCGGGAGACACGGCTGTTTCTGTCCCACAGGAGCCCTGCAGACTCCGACGTCCGAGAGCCCGTCTACCGCAATGCACCAGCCTGGCTGGAACTGCAGCCAGTATACAGCAATGGTGAGGAGCGAGGTGCCCCTGTTTGGGCAGCGAGCCGGGGCTGGTCCGGCAGGGGTGGGGCAGGAGAGGATGGGGTGGGGGGGGGCCGTGCGGACGCCCCGGGGGACACGTGTCCCTGCAGAGAGCGAACTCCAGCTGGGGGAGGAGGAAGTAACTCAGACCAGAGGCAAGAGCCTTGCAGTCTCTCAAACTGCAATCTCTTTCCATTCCAGTAAATCCTAAAGGAGGAGAAGTTGTGTACTCGGAAGTCCGGAGGATTCCGCAGGGGAGCAAACCTGCAGGTAAGACCTGGGGACCCTGGGCTTTGACGGCGCTGGCCGCGCGCGGCCCCGCCTCCGTCCTTCGGGCAGGTCTGGGGCAGACCGGGCGTGGAGCCGCCCTCACGCAGGGTCGCCCTCACTTGCGCCCGCCTGCCCTGCTGGGGTCCCCGGGCCCACCGTGCGGTGCCGCTCTGCCATTCACCACGGACGCCGCGGGATGGCCTGAGGACCGGCTACGCCATCAGGGCTTCTGCACTCGCAGCTGTCACGGGACACAGGGCTACCCTCCCTGTCCTGCCTCTGTCCGATTTCTACTGCTGACATGGCAAATGGCCACGAGCTCCGGAGGGGTGGGGGGTCGGGGGAAGGAGAAGTCAGACCGGCGTCTCCCTGGGCCGCGCTCCTTTCTGGAGGCCCCGGGGGTGAAAGTATTTCCTGACCCTTTCCTGCTTCTCAAGGACACCCCCTCCCCGGTCTTCAAAGTGCTACATCTCTGACCTTTTGTCCCAAGTCAGGTCTCCCTCTGAGTGCAGCTGGGAAACGTTCTCTGATTTAAAGTTCTCAAAATCCCACCTGGATTAATTCAGAATCATTTCCCCCTAATCTTTTTTTTTTTTTATGTTTATTTATTTTGAGAGAGAGAGAGAGAGGGAGAGAGAGAACATGAGCAGGGGAGGGGCAGAGAGAGAGGGAGACACAGAATCCCAAGCAGGCTCCAGGCTCCAAGCTGTCAGCACAGAGCCTGACACGGGGCTCGAACCCATGAACCTCGAGATCATGACCTGAGCTGAGGTCTGACGCTTAACCGACGGAGCCCCCCAGGCGGCCCGATCCTTAATCTTAATCACATCTGCAGAGTCCCTTTTTGTAAGGTCACACACTCACAGGTTCCGGGAATCAGGACATGGACATCTTGGGGGCATTATTCTGCACCCCCACGCTGTCTCATAGGGGTGAGAGAGCAGATGTGGAAATGCCATTACGGCAGCTTTGAGGGTGACTGACTGCTGGTGGTCTGGCTGTGTCATTGCCCGCTCGTGAGTGGTCTGCCAGGACCGGTCCCAGCCCAACCCCTCCGGCGTCAGGGAGACAACCCGCTCCCAGCTGCGCCCCGTGAAGAGTGCTGTGTGACTCTAGCCATTCTGCTTCCCTCTCTGGTTTTCCGATCCTCTTGTATAAAGTCAGATGAACCGTGTTTGTGCCCATTCTTGGTTCAACGGCGCACCTGTAACACATGGAGTCACACACGCTCACAACCCCCTTTGAGGCGAGTACTGTCTTACTCAATCTTGGAAACGAGGGAACCAAGGCAGAGGATCTGAAACGACTGGCCCAAAGTCGCAAAGCAAGTGCATCACTGAACGGTCTGTCTCCAGAGTCCCAGCCCCAAATGAGCTCTGCTCCTCGGTGTGGCTCCAGGAAGCCTAGAGGGTCACGTGCAGCTCCAGGAAGCCTGGAGGGCCACACCGAGCCACAAGGACAGAGCCTGCTTGCAGACTGCCCTATTCCGTTCCGGCTTAAGACCGTGTACAAGTGATGATAACGTCTGACATCACATCCACGTGTGTTCCGAAGTCCCTGTGTGCCAAGTAGTTTTAAGTGCTAAACGTGAATACGCCATAAACGTGCACACGTGTGCGTCTGCACCGTACCTGGCACACAGCAAACACGCGACACATGACAGACGCACACACACATGAGCTCACGCGAGGTCACAGTAACCCCGGAGGCGGGTGACGTTATCACTCCCACCCCGTGGACGAGACCACCAGGGCAGAAGTGGCGGCGACCCGTCCGAGGCCACAGAGGGGCACAGCGCCCCGCTCGGTCAGGGGTCTGCGCTCAAAGCACTAACAAGATTAGAGGGAGGTTCCTGCTCGCGGGCTCCCGGGGAGCGGCGTGGGGAGCAGAGTGGGAAGTGAGGCCGAGGAGGGGCCGGGCCCGGCCAGAGGCGAAGGGCTCAGGAGAGGGCCCCTGCGGTACAGGGCGGCTGCCGCGTGGGTGGGGAGAGGCGCCAGGGTGGGACGGGGACACGGGGACACGGGGGCTGGGGCGCGGGGAGCTCTGGGCCTCCTTGCCCGGCTGAGCAGTGCTCTTTCTCCCTCAGCAAACTCGGACTCCGTGTTAGGGCTCCTCCGGACCCACCTGCCCTCCCACGGCCAGGCCGCCAGCCACCGGCCTTCCGACCCCCCGGGCTCGTCTGTCATCTACTCCCAGGTGAAGGTGGCATGCCCCTCGGCCTGCGTGGCTCCTCAAAGCTGAGTCCACACACACGCCCCGTGTCCCAAGCCATCCTGGGGGCAAGGACATCGGCACGGGGTGACTTGAACGGGTCCAGGCCCCGTCCCCTGGCCTCTGCCCTCGGTGTGACCAGAGCACGGGACCACGGGACGCTGCCGTTCCCCAAGTGACAGCCCGTGCGCCTCGCGGTCTCTCTGTCTGGTGACGCGTTGCTCCCCCCCGGGGCCATCCCGTCCCCTGGCTTCCTTAGCGGGCTTCAGCCACGGTCCCTGTTCTGGGTCCCACTCCCATGCACACGCCAGCCACTCCTAGTGGAGCCTGCTCCTGGACTTCGAGGAGGCCACCTGCCCCCTTCCTGTGGACACCCGTCACCTGTAGAGACCTCCACCATAGACACCTGCTCCCCCTGGACACCCGCCCCCTCCCCCGGACACCTGCTCCCCTGCAGCTCCTTTCTTCAGTGCTCTTCCGTCTGGTGGGGCTACCGTGGGACTCTACCAAGTGGGGACGGGAGCAGCTGGCTGTGGACCTCCACACCATGGGGCTGCATTTCATGCCCCCCGTCTGCCTGGGACGTTAAGGCCAGCCCCTGACAGCAGGAGAGCTTCTCCCCTGCATGCGGACCCACACCCCTGCCGGTGGGCTCACATCCCCTTCCCGTGAGCCCTCCGGTCTGGGTGCAGGAACGCGTCTCACCTGCACAGAGCTCCTGTCCGGAGGCTCGCCCTGATCCCCGTGAGGAGACCTGCACATTCCGACAGAGGCACCTCAGAGCATCGGGGGGACGGAGGAGGCCCGACAGGTGGGAACCTCGACCAGGTTCTGGGTCAAGAAAAAGCCGCAGGAGAAACTTCGGAGGCAGTTAGGGAAAACTGAATATGAACTGTATATTACTGATACTATTGAATCAATAACCTGGCATTACTTTAAGAATATTTGAAAATATCTGAAATGCCTTGAAGTGATTCAGTAAACATTTTTTCATGTGCATGTTAGCGTCTGTGTTAGCGTGTGTCTGTCTTAGTGTGCATTTGTGTGTGCGTGTGTGTGTACGGAGAGAGCACAAACGTGGCAAAAACCCAAACTGGTGAATGCAGAGAAGGGCATACGGCATCGGTTGTATCATTCTGTTAACTTTTCTGAGATTTCATTTTTTTTAACTAAAACATTGAGGGTGGAGCCCGGAGCGCGGAGCGCGTCGGACCCCGGGTGTCGGTTGAGGGGCGCCGCCTGGGCCGGCACCCCTCCCGCCACCATGGGCTCAGGAGGGAGCCCAGCAAGACCTGGAGGAGGCGGGCCGGGGATTTTGCAGTGAAAACATTTCCCTTCCCCGTCGCTCCTCCCTGAGGCTTTCCTGGTGGAACAGTTGGCTCCCACCATGGGAGCACCTGCCGCGGGCATTGGAGGGGCGGGGCTCGCGTGGAGGGGCGGGGGGAGGCGGCGCCCGGGCGGGGTCTCAGGCTCGCGTGGCAGGGAATTCAGACGAAGTGACTTGCGGAGGGGAGCGGGGCAGAGAGGGGCTCTCGGCTTCAGGTGCCGAGGGACCTGGAGTGGCCTCTGACACGTTTGCCCTTCTGACCTGCTTTGGAGCTGGAGTGTCGAGGGACAAAACCCCAGTGCCCGGGAGCTCCCGGGAGGAGGCCGCACAGAGGTCGAACGTGGGGTCTGGGGGAGCACCCTGCAGCGGTGGGGTCGGCACCGATACTCCTTCGGCCCACCTCACCCCTGACCGGCTGCGGGCCTCGAGGGTGAGCACGACGGGCCCAACAAGAAGCTAGGGAAACCCTGGGATTTTCCCCGAGCACCCCTCAGGCTTCCCCAGTTAGCGGGTGACGATACATCTTTACCGGGGCCCTGTGCACGGCCTGGGGATCTGTTCCCTTCCTCCTTCCCCCCGGCCCAGTCGGATCCCGGGTCTGCTCTGGAGGCGGAGGCTGTCCCTGGGGCCGGCTGCCGCGGGTTCCAGCCCGGAGAACAGGCGGCCGGCCGGCCCGCTGGGCTCTCTCGCCTCGGCTTTCCTAGTTGTTTCTCCAGAGAAACAGAACCAGAGGGAGATGCAGAGACATAGGTGTTCATTTGCTGTCAGGAACTGGCTCGTGGGGCTATGGGGGCTGACAAGTCCCGAGATTGGCAGTTGGCAGACCGAGCACTCACAGCTGGTATGGTTTCAGGCCAAAGGCCAGCGGGTTCGAGAGCCCGGAGGAGCCGACATTTCAGTCGGAGTCCGAGGCAGGAAGGAGCCTGATGCCCGCACTCGGAGCGGGTCAGGCAAGAGAAGTTGTCCTCTCACTCGGAGGAGGCTCAGCTCTCTGTGTCCCAGCCGGGCCTTCGCCTGATTGGGCGAGGCCCACCCACACTCAGGAGAACAATCTGCTTCACTCCAGCCGATCCAGATGTTAACCTCTTCCAGAAACACCCTCACAGACACGCCCAGAACAACGTCCAAATATCCGGGCACCCTGTGGCCCGGTCAAATTGCCACACGAAAACCGCCACCCTGATCATAACGGTGGCCTCTTGCCTCCACTAGACCTTTGGGGGTTTTCCTCAGTCAGCTCAGAACAACGAATCCTCATTTGGGGGGGGGGTCTCCTCGAACAGGACGGGTGCCTGCCTGGCCTCCCTCACGTTTGGGGTTAAGAGAATGTCGACCGCTCCCGGGTCACAGCTGCTTTCTCTTTGTTGTGCTTTCTGTGCCTCCCCGAGGTCCGTCTTCCTCTGTGACAGTGCGCTGACCTGCACCCCGTCTCCCGATTTAACCTCTTCTATTTCAGCTAGCCAGCCTCATGGTCGCTCCCGTCCTCTCAGGTTAGTACTGGTTAGTACTGCCCGCCCAACAGAGACCTAACTCACAGAAGCAGCTACTATTTATTATTCATGAGCACCAGGTAGCGCGTTCTGCATCAATCATGCGACCCTCCCAGGAAGTCCGTGCAACAAGTACTCATCAGCGTCCCTTTTACAGATGGGGAAACTGAGGCTGAGAGTACCCCACTTGCCCGAGGCCATGCATCGGTCAGTTGGAGCCAGAAGTGCCCACACTCTTCGCTACCTGACCAACGTCCCCGGCAGGCTTCACGGGTCACCCGTCCCGTGTGGACAGAGGCGTTTGTGAAGCACGGGCGACCTGGAGTCCGAGGGTCCTACCGCTCCCCGTCTGGCCTCCCCGGGCTCTGGTTACCTCATCCGCAAAACAGGAAAAGTAGCGACAGCTGCTTGACTGGATTACAGGTGGGGACACCGTTTATGTACACACGGAGCAGGTGTTCTCGGGAGCAGGCGGTGAGGCGCCCGTGCTTGCGGTTTCGTTTGCCTTTATTGCTTCATCGTTACGAGGAAGCAGCTGCTGAACTGCCTCAAAGATGCTCCAGAGAAAACGGTGGAAGATGACCCGGTGTCCTTTTCTTAGACGTGCTGCCGAAACGAGCACTTCGGCGTCCTTTCTAACGCGAGAGCAGGGTGATCAGGGAGGAGGCGGAGGAATGGATATGCTCAGCGCTTCGGGAATGGACTTCCGTGATTTGGGGGCTATCTGGTCATTTTCCAGAGAAATAGAAGCGAAGGAGTGACTTCTCCAGATGCATTCTCTGGGGGCTCTGACTGACAAAAGCGAGGAGGGCCTCGCGTCGGTGCCCGGCGCACCTGCAGCTCCCGGGTTCGCGGCCCCCGGCAGCAGGAAAGATCAAGGCCAGGAGGAGAGAGAGGACCCACCGGGGGCTCGGCTGGTGGGCACGCTGACGGACAAGGGGCCCGAGGAGGGCGGGGCCGGGCCAGCCCGCGTGAGGAGGGAAGGCGGGGGAAGGCGGCAGCGTGAGAGCGACAGACGCCAGTGAGCGAGACGCGATGGCATCGGGCCGGAGGGCTGAGGCCAAGCTCCCCAGACCTGCCGCGGGGCCGGCGTGCGCCCTGGGCAGGCCGCCTGGCCCGGGGGGGCTGAGTGCCCTCTCCTGGAGAGCGGGACCACGAGAGCACCTGCCCCAAACGGTTGCGGTGAGCACGAAGATGTACAAATTGTAAAAACAAAAAAAAAAGTTTTCTCAGTTTGGCCGTTTCCCATAAAGTTAAACCCACACTTACTGCACCAGCCCGCCGTCCGGCCCCCTGTGTACTCGCCCGAGGGAAATGAAAACTACCGTTCGCACCCCAAACCGGCACGCGGATGGTTTTAGCAGTTTTGATTACAGTCACCAAAAACTGGAGACAACGCAAACAAATATCCCCGATGCGGTAAACTCATAAATGGAAGGAGCAAACGGCACACGGCGGAATCCCACGCGGCCCTGAACGGACCAAACTCCCGGCAGGTGTGACCAGGGGGCCTGAACCCGGGACGCGTCCCAGCGAGCGAAAGAGGCCATTTCCACACCCTGGAGGCGGCGCGCCCCGTCTTCGCGATGTCCTCGCAAGGGGCAGCGGACAGGTCGGCGGCTGCCCGAGTTGGCGGGGTGGGGGGAGGGTTCCCCACGGTGCGCACGGGGGAGCTCGTGGCAGGGGTGGAATGGTCTCTCCTGACCGCGAGGTGGGGGGGTTCCGTGATTGTGTATACTTGCCGAGACTCCCAGACCACGCGCTGAAAGGAATGTACGCTTTTAAGTTGAAGGAGGCCTGCCTTTGGGCGAAGTTCAAGGCCTGCTCCGAGGCGCTGACCATGGAACGGGCAGGTGGCGCGGGGTCTCCCGGAGCAGCCTGGGAGCGATGCAGGACTGGTGTTCGCAGCGGGCCGGGCGCGTGGAGGGGCTCCTCAAGCAGCAGCTACAGCACCATCGCCTGTGATCACATTTATCACGGGGCGGGGGCACTGCAATGATGCCAGTGCACCTGTCACCTTTATTAAAATGACAAACGGCCCTGGGGGTGACGAAAGTCGGTCTCCCTCCTCTTCCGGCTCAAGGACACACACACAACGACAAAGGCTCGGCCAAAGCCCGGTCACGTTGTCCCGACCGCACGGGCCCAGAAAGGCCTCTCCGAAACCCAAGGAGGGACCGGACGGGGCGGGCGCGGGGCCACCAGGCCACTGCGGCCGGCACCCCGTGACGAGGGCCTGTCCTGCCCCGGGGGGCTCAGCCCTGCCAAGGGGACGGGCCCGCGGGGAGGACCGTGTGGTCTCCTGCCTCAGGACAACCCGGGAGCTCTCAAGCTCTTTGTGTCCGGGCTGGGCCTGTGTGCACGTGCTGGCCGGCCCCTGCACGTGTCGCCGCGGCGACAAACGAGAGCACTGCTGGGCAGCCTGGGTCCCAGGCTGGGGTGTCTGTGACGGAGGCAGGACGGTGGGATCCGGTGCCCAGACTCGCCCCCCGGGACACTCGGTTTGTCCACATTTCTTCTGGTCTGGTCTGTCGTCTGTGGCCAACGTGAAGAAAGTGGTTGGGAGAAATGGCGTGGGCGAGGGATGGGCAACCCGGGGAGGCCCGGTGAAGGCCCCCGAGCCTCCGCCAGCCACTTAGGGGATGAGCCCAGAGCCCCCGCACCCACGGGGTGCGTGCGGTTTAAGCCCCCCGGCCCGATGGCGGCCGTGATGGTTAGCTTTCTGCGTCCACTTGACTGAGCCGAGCGAGGCCCGGAGAACTGGCACAGCCTTAACCCCACGTGCGTCTGCGAGGGCGTCCCCAGAAGAAGACAGCACTTGCATCCGTAGACGGAGCGAAAATCACCCTCACCACCGCCGATGGCATCAGCCAATCGGTTGAGGCCCCACCAGAAGTAGAAACGGGGGACGGAGGGCACATCCACCCGTCCTCGAGTGGGGCGCCCGCCTTCTCCCACCCCCAGTCCCGCCGACGGGGACTCCCCAGCCTCGGCGTCTGGCGAGCCAACCCTCACAAGGCGACTCTTCCCCTCTGGCGGTGGGTCTGCCTGGACCGTTGGCTCTGTTCCCCCGGAGAACCCGGCTGACCCAGCGGCCCCAGGCGGCCAAGACCACTCGTCACCAGGAAAGTCCCTGCTATCGAGACTTAAAGAAAAAGGAAAAATCTTTGGTTTGTTTGCGCTTTGG